CACATGAAGCCACTTTTATTCTCCCCCCTTGCCCCCCCAATTTTCCAGGACACCCCCCCACACACATCGTCCTCCCCAAAATTTCGGGGCCCCCCAATTCCGGGGTCCCCCTGTCCCGGGGGGGTCTCTCAAGTCACTGCTGGGAACTCGGCCCGACGCACCTGGAGGGGGCACAGGGGGGTCAAGGGGGGCCCCCAAAATATTGGGGTCCCCCTCAACCCTCCCGGGGGGTTCAGGAGCCCCCAGATTTGGAGTGACCCACACCAAGGGGTTCAGGCCCCCCCCCAGTTTCCCCGCTCCCCGGCTTTCAGGACCCCTCAGTTTTTGGGTTCCCCCCATTTCTCACTCCCCTCATTTTTGGAGTCCCTCCATCTCTCACACACACCCCCATTTTTGGGGTCCCTCCATTTCTCCCCCATCCCCTCCTTTTGAGGTTCCCCTCATTTCACTTCCCCCTCCCGTTTTTGGGGGTCCTCATTTTTGGGATCCCCCTGTTTTAGGGGTCCCCCCAGTTCCAGGGTCCCCCCTCACCTGGGTCACACTGATCTCCTCCAGTGGGGGCTGCGGGGGGGGCAGTTCCTGGGGGGCTCTGGGGGGCCCCCCCACAGACCCCCACCCCGACTCCCCCTTGTTCTGGAAGTTTCCGACCACGCAGGTCACCTGGGGGGGGAGGAGCGGCATTTTGGGGGACTCTAGGGGGGTCTTGGGGGTGTTTTAGGGTGTTTAGGGGGATCCCAGGAGGGACTCAAGGGGCCTTGGGGTAATTTGGGGGGTCCCAGGAGGGACTGGGGAGGGGTTAGGGAGTCCTGGGGGGGTTGGGGGTCTCGGGGGGGTGTTAGGGTGTTTCTGGGGTGTTTCTGGGGTCTCACCAGAAAGCGGCAATCCCGGTCCTGCACAGGAACCCGAGGGGGTTTGGGGGCATATCTTGGGGATCAGGGGGATGGTTTGGGTTTCAGGATGTTTTTGGGGCGTTTTTGGGGTCTCACCAGGAAGGTGGCAATGCCGGTCCCGCACAGGAACCCGGGGGGGTTGGGGGTGTTTATGGGGTCTCACCAGGAAGGCGGCGATGCCGGTCCCGCATAGGAACCCCCCCAGCACGTCCCCCCAGCTGTTGCGGTGCTCGGCCACTCTCAGGGCCCCCAGCAGGAACGGGGGGGCCGCAAACCCCAAAACCGCCGCAGGCTTGGCCAGGCGGGACCCCCCCCCTCGCCAGGCCAGGGTCACATAGAGCTGGAGAGGGACACATGAGGTCACCCCAAAATACCCCCCCCTAGAACCCCAAAACACCCTAAAACACCCCAAAACACCCCAAAACACTCTCAGCATCCCAAAAGACCCAAAACACCCCAAAACCCACCACAGTCCCCTCCACCAGGCCAGGGTCACATAGAGCTGGAGTGGGACACACGAGGTCATCCCAAAATAACCCCCCATAGAAGCTCAAAACCCCATAAAACACTCCAACCCCCCCCAAACAACACCCCCAAAATCCCTCCAGTCCCTCCAAACCCCCTTCCCAGTCCCCCTC